GAGGCCAGCTTCCAGGCGGATTTTTTCTCCTGCACATGTGTGAGCGCAGACCACCAGGAACTGCTTAACCGGGGATTTGTCCTGTTTAGGCAATGGGGAGAACGTGGTTGTTGTTGTTGATATCTTAAAGGAAACGGAGAGTTACTTAATTATAAGGTTTGGTCTCTCTTGCCAGGAGAGACCCCCTCTGAACCCTAAACTATACACATCCTGTTGCAGAACTCCCCCCACCCCCTACATTCCTGCTGGGGAACGGCCTCGGTGGGCCCGGGACTGAGCTCCTCTGAAATGCATTGGTGTGTCTCTCTCAATGTTCTGCTCATTTAGGTGGATGCCTAAATTAGACCTTGAAAGCAGCGGAAGTTGCCCGGCAGCCAGGGAGTGTGAGCGCCGCAGAACCCGCTGTGAAATCCCAGCCAGGTCCGGGCTCTGCGAGTGCCTTGGAAATGAAGGCTGAGACGCCCCCTCCTGAGCTCCTGGTCTCCTGCCCACCCCCATACAGGAGGGAGAAAGCCCTCTGGGGACACAGTGAGCCCATGGAAGGTCCCAGGGCAACTGTAGGGGCAGAGGGAGATCTCCAAGGGAGTGAGCAGCCATCTGGATGAAGTCACAGGGTGGCTGAGCTGCCCCCCACGCAGTGCCAGTGGGCATGGGGGTTCTGTACCTCCTGGATCCCACAGCCAACCCTATTCTGGGCCAGGCAGCGAGCTTCCGGGCATTACCTGGGTGCATCTGGAAAGTAACCATTTCATAGAAGATGACATTTCAACAAGGAGTATTTCTGTCTTTTGCAAAGACGCTTGTATTAGCAGGTGAGTAAGGACATTTCGGCCTCAAGAAAGCCTTGATGCTTTCATATGGAACTTCTGGGACTTTATTATGTTCAAGTTCAGAACAGTGATGGACATGTGGGTCTGCTTATTGAGAGTGGAGAGCCCAGAGCTGGAGGGGGAGAGCCAGCATGGGGCGCAGACACCCTGGGAGCAGAGTGACCATGGGGCTCCCAGCAACTTTCCAGGTTCTGGCCCCAGGCCTGACAGGGGAGGGGCGGGTGGCCCCATAACATGTCAGCTACAAAAGATTCTTCTTTCTGACCCCCTCCCCCAGCCCCACAAAACTCGGCCAAAGAACCCGCCTCCTGAGTGTCCCTAGGTCCCTGGCTCCTGGAGCCCATCTGAAACTCATTAGCTGCTTGAAATGATTGTCATGGGAGCCCTTGATGGAGAACAAGAAAGGGAGAGGGATACTTTTAAAGGACAGCAATTGGGACCCAAACGCTGGCAGATGTTTGGCAACCTGGCTGTTGAGGAGGGCCTCCGAGGGGCAGAGGGGCTGACTCCTTGCCTGACCCTGGGCTGGCCCCACCTTCCCAGGCCTTTGTCTCCGTGGCAGTTCCTGGTGTCCAGGCTGGGTACACCAGCCCTCTGCAGGTCACTTCGAAGCTGCGGAAAGATCCCTGCTCAGGAACAGCTGTGGTGGTCCCTTGACTCTGTCACTTGCAGCTTAATTCCTTTACTTTGCAGATAAAATGATTCTGTATTTTGAAATGTAAAGGCATGAGAAATGTTGGAATTATGATAACCTCCAGTATTAAAAAAAAATCACAGAACTAAGTATCTTAGAAGTCTTCAAAATAAAGAATGTGGAATAAAAAATAACTTTGCCCTGTAGGGTCTGAGAAACCCAGAATATTGGAATCATACTGTTAGAATTCTTGGAAAATTAATTTATAGAGTCAGAGTGTTTTAAAACTGCTAAAAATGCTGCTAAAAAGATTTTAAATCTTAGTAGCATAAAAGGCTAGGCTAAAGGAAATTTAAGACTATGGGATAAGAATTCTAGAATACTAGAATTGTAGAGCATTCAAAATATAGAGGAATAAAAATTTACTGAAATCCAGAATTTACTGAAATGCAGAAGCACGGTCTCCTACCATCACAGAACTTGAGAATGGTGGAGTGTTAGAATATTAAATTAAAGCAACACTGAATAGCAGAATCTTAGAATTGCAGAGTATTAGCACCATGGAATGGCAGTCCATGAATTAGAAAATCATAGTTCATAATTACAGATTCATTGCATTATAGACTCTTAGAATCACAGAACATTAGAGTCAGAGTGTCTGTTTTGTTAGAGAAGTACAAGATCTACGAATTACAGAATTTAGGAATTACAGGATTTTAGATGTAGCCTTGAAGAAATCTCAGAGGCAAAAAGGGATTTGAAGGTCACTGGGCTCCACTCCGGGTCCAGTCCCACTGGGGTCCACACACACATACACACACAGACAAGCACACCTTGGACAACCTTGAGCTTGTGTCTGGACAACATACTCTAATGTTCCCATTCCTGCACCCCTAGAGCTGCTGGCCTCCTTTTTCCATGCCCTCCCTGCATCCTACAAATTCTTACCAGCCCTGTTTTGCAGTGGACAGCTTACTTCTCGCAAATTATCCAGTGTCTTAATTCACTGTGCCTCTTCCTTGTAGGACAAGATGAATTTAATGATTCACATATTGGTGAAATGAAGCTTTGGCTTCTTCGGGGCATGAGAGGGGAGAGGGGGCAGAAAGGATGGGGCAGAAGTACTTGTGGAGAGAGTCCCAGAAACAGCAGCAAATAGGTCTCCAAAGGAAGCCACGCTCCCCATTCCTTCTTGGAGGGAGGCTGGGGTCACAGCAGTGGCTGAGATGAGCAGCCTGGCCTGTCTAGGTGAGAGGAGATTGGGAACTATCAACCATTTCATGCTTATTTATTTTATGATCCTCGCAGGCTGGGGTTTACACAAATAGGACAACATGTGGATTAGATAATTTGCGGGGAATGAACAGCCTTTGATGGTTATCAGTCTTGGGGGCGATTAAAGTCGGTTGATGAGGATGGCTCAGGGATGAACTGTTGATGTTATCCACATCCTCATCCTGTTCAGAGAGAGACCGGGGGGTTCATCGCCCTGCTGTAAATCCCCACGGGGGACTGCCCGGTGGAAGAGGGTGGTTAGATATCAGCTGGAGAGCAACACTCAGGATACTATTACCACACTGAGGAGTAAACCAAAAGCAAAACAAAGCCAGCTTCGGAGTCACGCCGGTACTTTAGAAAACATGGACTTCCTAGTGAATTCATCTCAAACTCCGTAAAAGGACCAGCCAAAGATAAATGATTTACATATGAACCTCTAGCTTTCCATTCAGGTAGCGTAAAGACAGGGTCTGTGTGGTGGCCGCCTAAGCACGAGGCTGTCTTCCTTGTGTGATCTTTTCTCCAGCTCAATATCCAGCAGAATTTGCCAGCCCTAGGTTCACCTAAAGCACCTTCTTAGAGAGGGACCAGATCAGGGTTTAGAAATGCGAAGAGATGAGGGCAATTTCCCCACAGATAAAACACTGAAGGCAATCCCTTTTGCCAGTTTCAAATCCTTTTCTTAAAAATCCATTTAGTTTAGAAAGTGCAAATCCCCAGATCGAACCCTACTGCAGTGCCCAGACAGTTCTCAGAATACCGTTTCGATGGAGCCGAGATTTTTCCAAAACTGAAATGCTGGCCAGGAAAGCATCAGCGGCTGCAGGTACACACAGCCTAGCCTGCTGGGCAAGTGACCACTCCTCTGGTCCCCAATAGGCCCACCCACAAATAGGAAGTTGGATTAAATAGTCTAAATGTGGGAACAAAAGTAATAGAAACAGGAAAAGAACAATTTGGCTTTGTTTCCTTTTGTGAATTGAATTTTAAATTAGTCAGGCCAGTGTATCTATTTATTTTAGAGGCAGTTCAACCAAGAACTGCCACTTTCATGGCTGGAGGTTTTGATTTCTGGTGCTAAACAACAAAACCACTGCCCACGCGTCCTCCAGGACTGGTGGCAGCCATGGGGGATCCTTCCCCGAGGTGCAGCACATCATTCTGAGACCAACGCCAAAGTCCACCGTTGCCTCCTCCATTCTGAAAGCAAAGGAGAGTGGAGATGAGCGAACAGGGCAGTGAGAGGCCTCACCGTCTGACTCTTAGTTTCCCTGTCTGTAAAATGGGGAGGGGGTGGAGGCAGGAAACACCTCAACGTTGTCTTCTGGCTCTGAAGCTAAGTCCTGAGCCCTGATTCTGAGCAAGGGCATTGGGGACATCACGCTCTCACATCCAAAGCCCCTTAGGGCCACCCTGCTGATTCTGGTGAAGGGAGGGGTGGGGCCAGGGAATCAGAGAGCCTTTACAAAGGGGACAATGACAAATCCCCCATTTGTGGACAAGTCCCTTTCACTGTGATTCTGAAAGGCCACTCAGGGGGTGAGCAGGGTGAGTGGGGGGGGGGGGAGTGAGGGCCCTCTTGTCACAACCCCATTGAAAGTGGGTGGACCTGTCAGCAATGACAGAGAGTGAGTGAGAAGCCAATGAAGGGCCGAGCTGGTGGCTGGGGGAAGAGGGCAGGACCCAGAGGGCTCAGCCCAGCCAACGTGGACATCCAGGCAGGCAGTTCTGCCGCAAGGATGGGGCGACAGGTGCCAGGTGGTTGGCCAGGTCCTCAATCTGGAACCTCATTTTAAAATGATGACAATAGTGTAGATTGTTTCATGATGGATCAGGATGGAATTTATACCCCAAACCACTGGGGACTGGATCTTTCTGGAAACATCAGGGTTGAATGGGAGCTGGGGCATGGAGCTGGTGTGACGACAGACCAGTCCATTCAGACAAAACATCCTGTCAGGACCCCTGCAGGACAACCTCCCGGGTCCCACAGCTGATCACTGCAGACAAACAACCCACCGGCTCAGCCCAACAAGGGGTCAGTTTAGACACACAGCACATCTGTCCAACCACAACAGTCTGTTCAGTTATAAAAATGACGGGGGTGGGGGGTGGGTGGGAAGGACAACAGAAAAACAGCAATAACATCAGTTCAATTTTTAAAAAATAACCATGCAACTTCCTGGATTATTATATAAGGAAACAACCAATCAGTTCAAGGACACAATTACCCAGTAATCAACCACATGACAGACTCGGGGTGAAAACATTTAGAAACCGTCCTTTTGGTCCAGCCTGACTCCCTGTCTCCTGCTGTGGAATGGTGTGGAATTCCAATCCTGTTAGAACTGGTGGAAAGCAGGGCTTGGGAATCACACACCCAAGCTTCACCCTTCCTCACTGCAGGGGTGTGGAAGGAAGTTCAGATGGAGGAGCCCAGGGATCTCACCAAGATGCCACAGGATTTCCAGCAATTTTTCTTCTCTCTGTGTGTTGAACATCCCTCAGTGTCAGAGAGTTCTTCCTTATGTCTTACCAGACTCTCTCTTGCTGCCGGACCAGCCCAGATGCTCCTCCTAGTGGCCAATCTCCAGAGGTGAGTGTCCAGGTATGTGGAGCCTGGGAGTAGGCCAGTGACCCCTCCTCCCCTGACGTTCAGAGGGTCCGGATGGCAAAGGAGAACCTGGAGGGCCCTCTCTGTGTTTGGTGAATAAACACAAGAGTCAAGTTTCTGGCCTGTCACTCTCCAGCCTTTCATGGCAGGAGAGACCAGGTAGGCCGGAGGGAGTTCCCACTGGCTGTGCATGAGAAGAGGCCGGAGCCTCAGGGGCTGAGGCCCAGCCAGGCAAGGCGCAATCTGGATGTCCAGTCACATCAGCATTTGCAGCATGGGACTTCACACCTTTGAAAGGCTCTGGAGTGGCCCGCAGGAAAATAAACGGTCCTTCCAACCACAGCGAATGGACCATCCTCAGGGGCTACTCGTCATGCCATGAAACCCTGTAAAAGGACCCAGTGTTTCCTTTTCCACTCCCTGAAAGGAGCCTCGAAGGACTGCCAGGATTGGACAAGAGGGCTGGGGTCCCGCCTGCTCCCGGGGACAGCCACCGGCTCTGAGCCCTGGTTTACACATCTGGTGACAGGAAGAAAAGGACCTGCGTGGGGGGCAAGTTGTGTGTCTGACGTGGAATGAGCCGTGTGCCTGTAGAAGGCAGCGTGTGGGAGGGACGGTCACTGTCCTCCTCCTTTTCTGTCACCTAGAACAAGTTGAGTGCCTTCAGGAGCCATGGTGCTCTCTGTCAAGAGGGGTGAGCGCCCACATGTGTGAGGATGAAGGGAGACAAAGGGCCTGGCCTGGGGTCGGGTGCTCAAAAGGTTCTCCTTTGGTCACCCTCTTGGTTCTTCCTCACGGGGCCCAGGCACTTGGTCTTACAAATGCAAACAGTGGTGGGCTCTTGACCCACTGGGTTAAGAATGCTGTGAGGACCAACCCCTGCCAGCAGCACTCGATGACCTTGCTACACCACAGAATCACAGGAGAGGCTAGACTCCAGGTACTTGGGAAGCAAGTGGGAAGAATGCAGGGATTAGAGAGTCCTGGGATTATTATAAATCTTGTCTCATTGAATGACAGTTCAAGCAGGAAAGTTGGAAGCCTTGAGGAGAAAGAGGCACTAGTGGTCCCTGTTGTCTGTGGGTTTCCTGAAGGAGCTGTCTGTCCAAAGCCAGGGAGCTCAGTTTCCACCCAGGTCTAGTAAGCTGCAAATGCAACACACCCAGCCAGTGGAGAGATGGCCCCAGAGGGTCCATGTTCTCCTGCCTGGGCTTTTCAGAGCTGGGAAAGACAAGCCAAACTAGGATCAAGGGGGCTGTGCATGGAAGAGCAGATCCTTTCCTGAACATGTGGCAGTGGCAACTGAGCTGTCTCCAGAGGCCATGATGTCCCTGTGACAGGAGGTATCCAGTAGAGGCTGAGGACCTGTGACAGATACTGATGAGGCAGGGCACTGGATGGGAAGGGAAATATCTGAGAGATAGACTTTGGAGTCCGGCACCCTGGGGGCTCCAGTGCTGGCTTTATAATCCACACTTGAGTGACCCTGGATTAGTCTCCTAACCTTTGTAAAGTCCCACTTTCCTCATGGATATAGTTGGTAATCTCCACTTCAAAGACTTGTTTTGGGGATTAAATGAAAGAATGCTTGTAAAGCATTTAGTTCAGGGTTAGAAAGTTGAAGGAAGATCCCCCGGTCATGGCTGAGGTTCTAAGATCTGGCAGGTTTCATTTTATAGGGGGTTAAGATCCATAACTTTGAGGATTCTGAAATTACAGAAGACAGACATTAATTTAATACTTATCCTATACAGGATACTTTCTAGGGGCTTGATAAAAGTTAACTCACTTAATCTTCACAACAACCCTGTGAGATAGCTTACTACTGTTACCCCCAATTTATAGATGAACAAACCGAGGCAGGAAGTTAAATAACTTGCCCACAGTCTCACAGCCAAGGAAATGGTAGAGCTGAGGCTAGACTCTGGTCCAATGTCTTATGCACATAAGATTCTAAGACCCCAGATTTCAAAACCACTCCGTGTTCCTAACATTTCAGAGAGTTGGAGACTGAGGGGCTTTTATTATTAATAACAAACATTCAGGATGAGATTGTTCTAGAACAGGGGTCAGCAAACTTTTTCTCTAAAGAGCCAGGTGGTAAATATTTCAGGCTTTATGGGCTGCAGGTCTCCCTTCATTGTTGGGGCTGATAACTAAACAAGTGAGCATGACTGCTTCCAATAAAACTTTATTTACAAAAGTGGGTGGCAGGTGCATTTGGCCCTTGAGCTGTAGTATGCTGAGCTCTATTCTCCAGGCTCCTCGGACATCTTCTACTCTGCTGAGCACCTCAGTGGGGGCTCCTTCAGGGTTGAGCCCCATAGGAGCTCAGATCGGCCTCCCCTTGTCCCCAGCTTCCATTTGGAGATGCAGAGAGGCCTGCTTTGGCCAGGGCGGCTCCTCGGGGTGTGGGGGCTTCTGAGTGTGGCTGTCCCTTTCTGTCCTAGAGAGGCTGTTGAAAAGGCTCCTCTCTCCAGCAGTGCGGCCTCATTACTCTGGGCTGGAAAACAATGTTAATTTTCCCCCAAGCGGGAAGCAGCTGCACTTGTGAGCCAGGGCTCATTTTGCTGCATGAATATTTATGGCCTGTCCCCTAATTAAACCCAGGGGAAAAAAAAAAAAAAAACTCTATCCTGCTAACAGGGTCCACGGAAGACTGGGAGGCCATGTCAGGAACCAGCCTCTTGTGCCTGTGAAGTAGATTGGCAATGAAACATTTGTTTCCAGAGCCACTTGGTCAGGGCCAGTGTCCAGAGGAGTGGCAGGGTGGGCATTTCCCAACAGGTCAAGCACCCTTGGTGTGGTCACGTGCAGGTGCAAGGGGCTGCCTGGGCCACCTTGCCGAGCAGTGGCGGGTGGCTATTGTTCCAGAACTGCATGGGGTGACTCAGGGTAACTGCAGGCCATAGCCCTGGCAAGATTGTTTTTCTTTTAGTCAGGTGACTCAGGTATTTCCCGATTGTGCCTCAACGGTCACTCTAGTGGCAACAGCCCAGAGAGAGAGGGCCTCAGTGTGGAAACCAGGAGAGCTGGATTTGACACTGATTCTGTAGGACCTGGGCTCTCCCAGCCTCAGTCCCCAAACCCCCCTCCTCCTATGTCGTGAAACTGAGTTTGGAAATCTCAGGACCAACACCCTAGAGAAGTGGTTGCTGAGAATTATATGAAGATGATAGAAATACAGGTTTAGGGGAATGGACTCTGGGATTTCTTTACCTCCAGACCCTTCTCTTAAATCCCCAGAGCCAAGAAAAGTTGACTCTGCCCAGCCCAAGTAACCTTGAGGGTTTCCGGAAACCATAAATCTTGGCTTTTCTTTGAGGGGTCCTATCTTCAGAGAACAGCTTGGGCCCTCATATCCTCTTCCCTAGAGCCAATAAACCAAGCAAACACCATAAAGCTCCTCACCCGTCTGAGCTTTCCTGATGGTCAGAGTCAGCTGGGTCCAGATTCAAGGATATAAGAGCCTGACCATAAAGTTAAATATGGCTCCTCCCCTTTCCTTTCCAGAACAGAAAAAAGAATGGAACTTACTTTGATTTCTCTCTGTTGCAATGCTTTTTAATGATTTTCCTCTTTGGTTTCTTCACAGCACGTGGGAGACCCCAGCTTGTGTCCCCTGCCTTCTTCCGCCAGCTGCGATGACCTGGGTGAGGAGGATGCTTTCCCAAGGTGGGTCCGGGGGTGCAATCATTTCAGGGCCTTGGCAAACTGTAAATTCAAAACTTGTAAATTCAAAAGTCAACAAGATGTGGAAGTGGAGGGGACCCTCAGGCAGAAGGGGAGGAGGTGGGGACGTGAGAGTGGGCCTGGCCTGGGAAGTGGGTCAAGGGTGGCTTCGGAGCCCTTTGCCTCCCCTGACAGGGCCTGCCCCACCCCCCTGGAGCCCTGGGACTTCCTGTTCTCTCTCTACCTTCACATCCTGAGCTCAGATCTGATTCCAGCAACAGACTGGACTCCAGAAGGGACCTTAAAAGTCCTCTCTCTCACACTTTCACCACAGATGGGGAGGCTGCAAAAATGGGGAGAGCGGAAATAACACTGGGCTGCAGTCAGGAGACCTCAACCCTGGTTCTAGCCTTGGTTGGGTCCAGACCCTGGTCATACACAAAAGCCCTGAGCCTAGCTTCAGACTGTAGCCTTCATTACAGTAGCCTTTCTAATCCCAGGTCAGTGTCGAGGTAGCCATAATATCACAGCTTCCAATGGCCCATCTTACTACAAAACCACTCACTGCTGTTGGCATCCAGGACACCATTTTTACTGATAAAGGATGCTGTGCCCTTACCAGTTTGGAAGTTTGACATAATGGCCCATCAGAACACTTTAGCAAAGATGTGACTGTCAGAAAAATCACTTTACCTCTCTGGATTCAAGTTTTCTTATCTGCAAAGTGGGGGTTGTCATCCACCCTGCCCCCAGCCTAATCCCTTGGCTTCTTGAGGGCCAATTGAGATTATGAAGATGCTTTGCTAGCTAGATGTGCTTTAGTATAGATGAATGAGTGTTGAAGTTGTACCTATTGTTTATGTTGTTATTTGCTAGCCAAATTTGCTTCTGGCTAACCAGAAAGATCTGGTGTCCTCTGGCAACTTAGGACCTTAGAGCAAATTTTATAGGTTAAAAATGGACAAGAGGAGGCCCAAGAGCTTGGCCAGGGTCCCCAGACCCCATAAGACTTGGGGAGCTGCTGGGTTAGATAACGGAGACCTCATTAGCCTTATATAGGTCTGAGTCTATTGGCCAGACTGTGGCGCTGGCAGTTAACCAGCTCCAGTGTGTCACAGGTGAGTCCAGGCAGACACTTGAATGCCCAGGCTTGGGCTCTGATCATTGTGGTCCCACAGAAATTCCCAGACTCTGCTTGAGAGGAGCAAAGAGGCTCAGGTGGGTGCCTACATACCAAGGCCCCTACCTCTAAACTAGCTTCCTTTCAATTTCCACCAGCTCCTGCGTTTTGGGGAGGAAAATTCAGTCCATATACTTTTGTTTTATTTGCATGAAAACTGTCACAAAACCTTGTCAGAGACATTTGTGTTGTAGAACCCTACAGGGTCTCTTTATCACTTTTTGAAGATCTTTTCCTTCTCCCAGGGTAAACAGGAATTCATACTGTGCCAGGTCTGCACCGCCAGCCTCCTGGCAATTGGAAATGAGAAGTCCCTCAGTTTCCCTTGGAGCAATGCTTGGCCATTGCTTCCCTTTTTGATTTGCCGCAAGCCCTCCTGGTAGCATCCCCCTGCCCAACCCCACCACTGGGCAGGGAATTAGTCTGTCCGGCTATGAAGTAATGTTTGTGGACACCTCTGTTTATGCCATTCTGCTACCTGACTGAATTTCTTCCTCACCATTCCTGAAATCTTCCTTGTTCTTTGAGGCCCAGTTGCAACTCAACACAACCTTCTCCTGATCATTCCAGGTGAAGTGATTGACAGCTCAGGATTCAGTACTGTGTGACATCAGTGAAGGTTTACTACAGAATGAATGAATGAATGGAGCTGGGCACAGTGGGGCACACCTGTAATCCCAACTACTCAGGAGGCTGAGGCAGGAAAGTTCGAGGCCAATCTGGGCAACTTAGTGAGACACTGCCTTGAAGTAAAAAAATAAAAAATAAAAAGAGCTGGGAATATAGGTCAGTGGTAGAGCACCCCTGGATTCTATTCCCCAGTAGTAGGGGGGGGAGATAAAAGGATGGGTAAAATATGATGGATGATAGGTTGGCACAAGTTACCCTACACATCCCTTTTTTCCTAGAATGTGTCAGGTGGGGTTTTGGCATATGCAGAAGTTTGATGAATGCCTGAAGAATGGCTGTAGGAATCCATTTATACAGCAGGGTCTATGGGGCAGGCACAGTGCAGAGGCTGACGTGGCAGCTGAGAATCACACTGCTTCCTGCCCTGCTGCCCTCACCGTTCAGCTGAGTAAGGTTTACACAGAGAGCCACATTACCCATTTGGTGACTTTTTGGGATAAATGTCACGGGGAGGGAATATGAATAAGTCAGTAAGTGAATGAGGAATTGCGAAGAAGGGGAATGAGCAAACAGAGTGAGGGAGAAAAGGCATATGTGAATAAGTGGATAGTGGGGAAGATAAAGGAGGGGATGGATGAGGGTCATTATGAAGGGAAAAAATCCATGCCACGGGATGTAGTGTTTGTGGACACAAGGACTAGAGGCCAACGTTGGCCGAAGTCAGCCCCTCTTGGGAGAGAGGTGGGCAGGCTGGGCAGGGGGAGGCTCCCAGGGCACATGCGGGGCTCTCTGCATCCTCAGGTAGGCACCTCTGCCACTGCCTTAGCATCTCTGGGCCAGAAAGAGTGGCCATTTGGAATGAAGAATTGAATGCACAGATTCCTGGGCCTCTGGGGGCTGAATTTTGCTCCTTGCTGGGGAGGAACTGCAAGGTTTCACCACCCTATCCAGCAGCAAGGGACCCTCTATATTAAGCCAGTAGTCTTGGGAAGGGGAAGCGCACCACCACCAGTGACCTGACCTTAAGGGGCTCTAAGAGGACTCTGCTGGAACTAACCACGCCCTTTGTGGACCAGCCCTCTGCCTCTGAGCTCCTTTTCTGATCGCCTCCCCTGCAGCTTCCTCCCTCCCCTGGCACATGCCAGGCCTGCTCCTGTCTTAGAGCCTTTGTGCTCCTGATTCTCATTCTGGGATCTCTCCCCAGACCCTGGGGCTTACCTCACTTCCTTCAGTTTTTTTCCCAAACGTTACCCTATGAATGCAGGGCCTTCTGGGGCCACTATACATTTATTTGGTCGTATATCCCTTCCTTATTTAAACCTTTCTTTGGCTTTGAATTGTTTACAGAGCATTTATCCTTATTTAACGTACTGTGCAGTTTTCTTATTTGGTTTACTGTTTCTCCTATGAGGATGCCCACCCAGGAGGACTGGGATTTGTGCTGCTTTGTTCACTATTGTGTTCCAGCTGCCATACAGTAGGTGCCACTAAATATGTATTAAGTGAGCAAATGAAGCAAAGACTCCAACTCAGCCTCTCCTCCCCACACACAAGCTACCGTTACCATCTATTCTTGCCTGGATGCTGGAAAAGTCTTCCCCTAAACTCAGCTCCACCCTGACCCAGCCTCCTCCCAGACCCTAATTTATTCCCTTATTCTCAGCCTCCTATCTTAACCTCCAGCTTCCTCCCGGACCCTCAGCCTTCACCCTCACCTCTAGCTTCCTCCCAGGCCCTCAGCCTCCTCCCTGACCCAGGCAGTGAATGGGGCCTTCACATAGCCTTTTCTGGACTTGGGAGTCAAGAAGAGAAGTCATGGTACTTTGGAAAACACATGTTCTTTTAAGGAAGAATTTTTTGTTTTCATTTCAAACAGCCCTGGCTGGTGACGAGTGGTGAGGAGAGGTGCCCTGTTTTCCATCCTGACACCTATTTCCAGGTGGGGGCAGGGAGGCCTCCAAACCTGAAATGTTATTTCAAACCCTTTCCGGGCCTTGCGACTCCATTTCCAGCCCACATGCCTCAAAGCAAAGCACCATTTCCCATTACGTCATCGTCGTGTTGCCCTTTCTGGTCTGAGCACCTTTCAAAGGGGGAAGACCTGGGCTGCTTCAACACTCCCTCCTGCCCCCGTAAATAAATAAACAGCCTTGCTTGGGTACCGATGGTCACACTCCTGATAGGCCAGCTCGTCAAGGGCAGCAAACTCAGGCGGTTCCTCCCTGCCCTCCAGAGAGAGATGAAACTGGTGTTGGGCAAACACTCTGGGCCTGCTTTCTGCCATCTGAGGCACATTCCAAAAGGAGCAGGCCAGGCGAGGCCTTGTCATCTGCCAGGGTGCAGACGGAGATGGATGACGCCCTCCCTGCCAGAGAAGGCCACATTTGAGACACTCCCAGATAGCCAGCTGCCACTTTATTAACAGCAAAGATCCCCATCTGAATCAGGCTGGGAAAGAAAATATTTATCCTTGCTTGTCAGAGGACCTTCATTTTTCTTCAGAGGAAACCAGCTTTGGTGCAAGTCCAGGGATCAGGGAGTGTGGCAAGTCTGTGGGGCCACTCCAGGCCTTGCAGAAGCCCCAGGGTTGATGCCCCTTGAATGTCCTCAGGGCAACTCTGGATGGGAACAGGGGTGGTGGCTTCAGGAGAGCTGTGCATGGGGAGTGCAGGGGAGTCAGGATACCAGAAACCAGAACATGCCCTGGCACCTATTAGACAGTAAATGACGGATCTACATGTAGGAGTGGGGCTGCCCTCAGAGTCAGGTGGACAGAAAGCGTGGGTTAGTTAGAGAAGCAACTTTGTGCTGAGTTAGAAGAAAATAACTTTGCACTGTCAGAAATGTCAACATTGGAGCTGAGTCTGTCATCTTAACTAGGCATATATTAAAAACAGTTTATATCATTACTTTTAGGGTGGTTATTATTTTGATCAAAACTCGAAAGTCAATTCTTTAGCAGTTTCAGGGGTGCCTGTGAATCTGCATCTTGAGAGACAGCTGTATCCAATGACACTGAGTTATAAGGTGTGAGGCTGAACAAGCCAAGTGAGCCCAGGGAAGGGAGGGTTTGTCCTCAGAGGGGCAGGATTGTTCTCCTTGGACCCCAGTAAGATTTCCACCCCCAACTCCAAATGAAGATTGCCTGTCATCCAGTGGTGGTGCACATCCGAGTCAGAAGGCCTGGGTTCAAATCTCGATTTAGCACAGTTGCTTAGCAGTGGTGGGACCTAGTCAAGTTTTAGTCTCTCCTACCTTGAGACGGAGCTGCTAAATGTCTCCCTCTTGGGGCTGCCTGGAGGAAAGTGAAGTAAGTCTGTGAAACCTGCAGCTCAGTGAGAGCTGGGGAAGTGGCAATAAAGGAGGAGTCTCAGGCCTGGGGTTGCAGCCTCTCTCTAGGAGCGCCTTGGTCCTTTTTATTTATATGTAAATGAACAGGTACAAAGGCGCGTTAGTATGATTGCTAGTTCATATCTGATAGTGGACCCAGGCTGCTATAACAAAAATACTAAGGACACAGGTGGCTTGAATAAATAGCCATTTATTTCTTGCTGCTCTGGAGACTGGGATGTCCAAGGTTGGGTGCCTGGTGAGGGCCCTCCTCCTGGCTTTCTGGCTCTCTCTGCACATGGCGGAGGGCCTGAACTCTGGTCTCTTATATAAACTCCTCTTCTTATATGAACACTAATCCCATCATCAGGGACCCACCTTCAAGAATCTGTCTAAACCTAATCACTTTCCAAAGGCCTTCCCTACAAATAGCATCACCTTGGGCATGGGACTTCGACATAAATTTTAGGGGAACACATTTGGTCCCTAACAACATATGGGTGTGAGATCTGTATCGTTCATACCTGCAACTGCTTTTGAATCTGTGTGCTGAGTAGGCATTTATGTCTAGTTACATATTACAAGTTAAAAAATAAAGAACAGTGAGGGCCTGGGCCTTATAGCCATGTGTGTAACCTATGTTCAGGCCGCTGCATCCATGAGAGTGTAGCAAAGGTTAAGTCACAGGCTCAGACTACAGGCGTGAGTCAGTGTGTCACCTGTGTACCTGTGTGTATTTATAAGCCCCATATGGCAAGTCTCCTGCTCCCACCAGTCTAGGGCAGTTACTGAGGGGACCCAGAAGAGGGACTCAGAGGGACTGGGGACCTGTTGAGTCTGAAATCTGGCTGCAGATGCCCAATGATTTGTTTTATGCTGTGTAAGAACCCTTGGCCCTGAGAGCACAGTTTTCCTGGAGGAAGGACATGGAGTCTGTCCTTGATGTTGTGGGGACTTTATTAGCTCATCTCCATCCAGCGTGGGACCCATTTTCATCTATCCAGATGGATCATTTGTCTCACAGATCGCCTTCAGAGCTCCAGCTCAAGTGACATTTGCTTAGCAATTGGCCTGTTTGAAAAGCTGATGTGCTAGAGCCCAGGCATGCAAACGCCTCACTGTCCTTCTGAGCTGGGGTGCTGGGGGGGCCAGGCCCATGGGAGAAGGTCTGAGGGAGGGGGTGGGCATTTGGTTGGGTCAAGGATCCCACAGAAACAGGCAAACACATTATCCACTCCAGCACCGGCAATTTTTTCCCCCAGGGTAGCTAATTAGCAGGCAGCTGCCTGGGCTCTCTACTTGACTTGCAGAATTAGAATGCTCCGCACAGAGATCTGTGTTGACGCTCAAAATCCAGAGTCTTCTCCAGCAGGAGAGGAGCTCTGTGAGCTGAAGCTGACACTGTTAGATTGCCCTTCCAGGCCTGGACCAGCTCCTCTGCACAGAACCCCTTCCCTGTTGGAGGCTTTGGAAAGTGGGAAGTCGGTCAGTGCAGGCACAGATGTCACCTCACTTCCATAAACACGACAAAGGCACAGACACACAAATTCACCCAGGCTTAGGTTCAAATCTCGGTTTAGCACAGTTTAGCACCCACCCACAGAGCACACCGACTGCACACAAACATTCAGACATACCTGAGATCTGCACTGAGGTTCCCTGCTGGGTGTAGTGGCACATGCCTGTAATCCCAGCAACTTGGGAGGCTGAGACAGGAAGATCACAAACTCGAAGCCAGCCTCAGCAATTTAAGGAGGCCTAAGAAACTTAGTGAGGCCTTATCTCAAAATAGAAAATAAAAAGGGCTGGGAATGTGGCCCAGTGGTTAAGCACCCCTAGGTTCAATCCCTGGTACCAAAACAACAACAAAAAACACACCCACACACATGCATGTATACATATACTCCTATGTGTGTATGGCAGATGCACCCTTTCAGGTGCCTAGAAACACACATGTAATGCCACACAACTGGGCACAGAGAAGCTTCTTAAATGAATTTATAAAAACAAAAATTCTCAGAAACCTGCATTAGGATTCTCAATCAAATCTCATGTCAGCATCAGAGATGAGGTTATATAAGAATGACACATCAGATGAGCTACCAGATATCTGATGCCAGATTCAGAAATTATATGAGAATTAGAATTCTTGTAGCAGAATTAGTGGGGAGTTTTGTATAAAATCCTGTGACCCTCCAGAATCTGACAAGTCATTGAGTAAGATATAGAGAATTTTGAAAGGCTCCCCCATATAATGAACACAGAACATTTTTATCATTAGAAATAAAATTAAATGACCATCTCTGATTAAGAGGAAGAACATTTGAGTTGGTAAGTACTGTCAGGAATTTTAATTTAAGAGATGTTTAAAAATGATATTTTATTGTTTCAGGAACAGAATAACTTGGAACCAAAATTTTCCTGATTGATTTTTTTTTTTTAACAGATTGGAATGGTGACAATGGATACAACTTGCCCAGGAGATTTTGATGCAACTACATATGTTTCTAGTCCCTTATCTTCTTGCTATAGACCTGGAAACCGAGGTCCAAGTTGGATAAGCTCCCGATTTAAGTCATATAACTATTTACCACTTCTGTGAGTTAATGTATGTAGAGCACACAGTAAGTGCTCAATAAGTGTTAGCAGCTATATAATTTCCATGGTCATTACAATCGAAAGTCATTATCATTAGTCAGGCAAGGCTAAGAATGCAGAAATCCTTCCTCCTCACCTGATGTAGGAACTTGGGCTTTCCTTCTCAGTTGAGAAAACACTCAGGGGTTAGTAAATGTCTGGGTCCGGCACCCAGTCCTCCTGTCTTCTCCTAAGATCTAACTGAAGAATGCCAATCTTCCCACTTTCAGGAAAAAGTCAAAGGAGTGTTATTGACAATGGTAAGGGTGGCAGCATGATGATCTTTATGGGAAAGTCCTCTCTGCTCAGAGGCTTCGAAGGACAGCAACCTCCTGCTGGTCTTATGGACACAACTTTCCCGTCTGCAGGGTCGGGTCGATCACAACAGCTGCAGGTAGTGGGGTAGTGGGGCTGCTGAGCTCTTTCTGCTGACTGCTCCCCGGAATCTCTTCAGGCCAAGCAAACTCTGATTCTAACCACTTCTCCCTAAGCCAGGGCTGCTGGGTGGTCTAGGGGCAGAAGGACAGAATGGGGGCGGGGCAGGGCAGGCCTCGGGTGGAGGAAGGATTGAGAGAGGGAGTGGGGCTGTGTGGGTGAGGGTGGGGAGGGCTGGCGCATGGTGTCAGTGTTTGGGGACTTTGGAAGACTGGGAAAGACTAGCTGATGTCAGAATTCCAGGAGAAATCCGGGAACCTGGTGGGGGTCCCCAATAGTGTGGTAGACATGGAACTCCCTTTTCCGAAACCCCGTGGTCCCAGGTGGTTAGCTGGTGGGGTCCACCGCCAGCCCTGAGCCCCCTACACTTTGTGTCTGGGGCTCCAGAACATGTGGCCGACACCCCCGCCTCCAAGGTTGCCATTTGGAACGCATTTGCAGACACATGGATTGTTTTTAAGTTAATGCTTTTTAATTCACTCTGTTTCCAAGTTGTCGTTTTTTATTGAAAAGGCGGATTCTGCTGGTGTGTGTTCCTTTGCAGGGGCGGGGGCGGAGGTAGCTTCGCCGGCAGAGATCGGAGGAGAGACCAAGGAATGGCAGAGACAGAGACAAAGGCGCAGCGAGACAGGGGGAGACAGTGGGAAACGCGCAATCAGGGTCAGAGAGGAAGAAAGGAACAGACTGGGAGAGGGAGGTGCCGCGGCCGCGCCAGAGAGGCCGAGGAGCCCGGCCGGCGAAGGTCCCGGGGGCAGGGTCGGACGAGGCTGGGGACAGCGAAGTGCTGGGGAACCGCGGCCGACGCCCCCACCTCGACTAAGGTCCCTGGGATTGAGCTTGCTTTCCTCCGGCTCCCTGGTTCCTGTCGGCAGGCCGTGTAGACGACGCAGCTCTGTCCCAGGGAGAGGGCTGGAGGGATGCGGTGGGAACGGACTCAGTACGCAGGACCAGGGTCGGCGAGGCCTAGGGATCGAACCTGAGCGCGGGGAGAGAGGCCCTGGAGGCGGAGGCGCCCGCTTCCTCCCCGGCGGACCCTCTGTTTCCGAGCTGACTGTGGCCGCCAGGAGTGGAGCCCTGGGCCTGCTGCGCCGCCTGGGAAGAGTTCCCCAACCTCTCTGAGCCCGGGGCTATGCCACTTGTGCGACCGGAGAGCGGGTGGCCCATTCCAGCAGGAACGAAACGGCTCCGAGACCGGGGAAAGAGGGACCGGTCGATGACGCCTTGGCTCGGCTCGGCGGTGACCGGGGCATCTCGGCCGGGTCGCCGCCCCGGGCTCGTGTTCAGCCGGCTGGCGGCGGAGCTGGAGCGCGGGCTGCGGCGCGGTCCTCCTTCTCCGCCGAGAACAGCCCGTCCCCTCCCCCTCCCGCGACCCCTCCTCCCGGGATCCGCGCGCCCGGCGCCTGCGACCCTTCCCCCGCGGCGTCTCCAAACGCCCGGCGGCGGACTCGCCAGGCGCCGGCAGCCAGCACGTGGTGGTGGCGGAGACGCGGGGAACGCGGAGACGCGCAAGGTCCTGGGGCCTCTGGCCGGGCCCGGGGCGGAGGGCCGCGGCCGCCCGGGGGCCGGGCGCTCCCTGGTGGGAGTCGCGCTGAAAGCCCGGGCTAATGAGAGCTAATGACTGTGTGCAAACAGCCGCCGCCGCCCTCCCCTGCCCCGGCGATCCCCCGGGCTCTGCGGGCGCGGCTCGGGCCGACCAGGGCGCGCGGGGAGCCCGGAGACCCCGAGCCGGGCGCCGCAGCCCCCCCAGTGCGGCCGGGGCGCACGCTCTGCTGCTTCCCAGGTGTCCCGGGACCGCAGTCCGCTGTGGGGCCCGAGGCTGGGGTCGGAACCCGGGACCGACACCGCTGGCCTTCGCACCGAGCGGGTCGGGACGGGTCGGCCCGGGCATTCGGGCCCTGCGGCTCTTCCGATTGCTTTGGCTTCCTGAGCATCCCGGACTCTGCAGAAGATCCGAGGTGGACTGTCCAGCACCCCGCGCTGCAGGCTGTGGCGGAGGCCGCGGAACCAGGAAGGGACGGACCTGGAGCAGCCCGGCTATGCTTGGACAGGCCCATTCGACCACCGAAAAAGCAACTTCTGCGAGCCTTCTAATTGGAAGTATGCGAGGCCAAGCATGCCTCGTCTGAGGGGCCTCAGATGGAGCCCAGGGGCAAAGAAAAAGGGCTTTAGTCTAATTCAAGTATGAACAAGGCTTTCCAGTTTGCCCTTCGAGCCTGAATCAAAAATCTCATTCTGTGGGTTTAGCAGTGGCGTCAGGGGAGGGAATTATAGTTCCATAATCACAGATAAAGCTCAGAGAGGTCAAACGTCTCCCTAGAGGTCACACAGCAAGGAGAGGCAAGTGGTTTTTCGGATTTTAAAATTTTAATCCAGACCCTGGACACCTTCTCCACCCCTCCCGAACGGCACTGGACCCCGGGCACATCTTGGCGCTCCGCGAAGCCTGGAAACTGCCGGCGGGAGCAGAGCTCGGAGAGCGGTCTCGGTCGGGGGAAAGGGGCCGCCAGGGCTCGCTGCGGGCCCATGGCGCCCTCTTGCGCTCGCGACCGGAGGCGCGCCGGCTCTGGGGTTGGCTGGTCCTCCGCGGGTCTGCTAGACTTGGGACCAGGCATCTAACACCTCAGCCTCAGTTTGCTGTTGTGCAGGGGAGCTTGGTAGCTGCGCAGAGGGTGACATGAAGATGGGCTTTGTATACTGTAAAGCCCGGTGCGCACTCGGTCACAGCGTTTGGACACCACCGCAGTTTCCCCCAAGCTTCCTCCTCCGTCCTTGATTTTCCTGGAGTTCAGTGAGGCCGGCAGAGGGGGAACTAGGATTCCCACCGTACGCTTGGGGCAAGCGAGGCAGCTCAAGGCCGCTCACTGCGAGTAGTGGAGCCAGCGCTCAGACGGGGTCTGCTGTCCCTCTCCATGTTGTACCTGGCCAGGTGCTGGGTTCTGGCTGCTGCCCAGGTTAAGGAAAAGGGCTCTGGCGTCAGACTGACTTGGAGTGGGGGAGGGGCTAAGGGGCCTGACAAACTGGCGGTGAGATCTCAGGTGAACCGTGGGGAGATCTTTCTGGGCTTCAGTTCTGAATCTTCAAAACTGGGATGGTGGTGCTCCTCGGGATTGCTGTGGGTGGGTCTGTCCCAGTCAGAGGGCACCTGCACTGTGGATGCTTTATCAGGAAGGATGGCAGTTGCTGTGACTACCCAGGCTGGAGGGGGTGGGATGGAGGCTCACATCCCTGCCGGGGGCCACCCTAGACCCTGAACCTTGAGTAGCAGTGCTGGTTGCTGGCCTCTCAATCCAGCCACCTTCTGGAGGGTCTTGGGCAAGTTCTGGGAGGCCTCCCACTCTTTACTAGTGGGGATGCACAGGCCCTGAGACAGCGGCCACTTTCCTAAAGCCACACAAGGGAACTTGGAGGGCACCGGGAATGAGGGCCAGCAAAAGAGGTGGTGGCAGGTAGGGTTCTGTTCTTTGGAGAACTGATCCAAGAGGATTGTAATGCGAAGGGTCTCCAGGGCACCTTGAGGTGATACAATGGAGGGGCTAGGAGACACATTTGGGGGCCCAGTGAGAAGAACTGAGAGAAGTTTGGAATTATAACCCCTGTCCCTCTGCCAGCCTGGGAGTCTGGGACAGAGATTCTTCTTAGATGAGCCACCAGTGTGGGGAAGGAGAGGCTTTGGGGAAGACAGGTGCCCAACTGCAGGTGCAGGGAGGGGGTGCAATTTGAGCCCAGTGGCTCTCAAACTTCTGAGTCACCTGTTGGCTTGCTTAGCACTTGCTGAAGCCCTTGCCCTGATCCGATGAGTAGGTCTGGGTGGGTGGGCAGAGCTGGCATTTCTTACAAGTTCCCAGGTGATGATGATGCTCTGGGTCTGGGGATCCCACTTGGAGAATCACTGCTCTAACCCTTCAGAGAACTTCCCCCAAGGCTCCTCAGATTACCAGCTGCACATTCACCGTCCATCTTTCAGGGTGGCTCTCGTTCTGACCAGTTGCAAAGAGCAATTCCTAGCCTTGCCCACTGCATGGGCAGGTGCAGTGTGAATGGACCTCCAAGTCCCTCCCTCCTGTCCCCCTCCCTCCAAAGGCTCAGAGAAGACTGATTTTGCAGCCACTAGAGCAGAGGGGCAGGAGGGAGTTGGGGACAGCCCTGCTAGAGGCTGAACGGTGCAGACAGAGCCACTGTAAGATCCTCTAAGAGCTGCGTGTGTGCACTTCAACGACTGTGGGTCCTGCTCAACCCCTCCCGAGACACACACAGCCCAGGGCGGAGGACAGTGGGAAGGGATACTGCAATACTCACTCAAAGGAATGAACTGGTGCCAGTCAGGAGAAGGCCTGGTGTGAGCAGGACAGGCCCCGTGGTTGCCCCATCAGATAGTGGCTCACACTAGAGCAGGGTGGACTGGCCTCAGCAGCGGTCCTTCCCACCTTGACTTCTCCATCCAAGGAACTTGCCGAGTGTGTCTGGCAGTTCCCCTGACCTTCCCAGGCTGCCAGCAGGATAATATATGGAAATTGCTTTGAC